GGGGAGACAAACCATGAGAGACTATGGACTCTGAGAAACAAACTGAGGGTTCCAGGGGGATGGGTTAGCCTGGTGATGGGTATTAAAGAGGGCACATACTGCATGGAGCACTGGGTGTTATACGCAAACAATGAATCATGGAACATTACATCAAAAACTAATGATGTAATGTATGTTGATTAACATAACATAATAATAAAAAAAAGAAATATTGGAAGACAGAGAAAATAAAAGAAAAAATTAAAAAATGAAAGAAAGGGAGAGAGAGGAAGGAAAAAAGGGAAGAGATGGAAGGAAGGAGGACAGACAGTGGTATGTAGGTAAATGATTAACAATTTAAAAACTGGTTCTGTAGTAAATACATAAATAAATAAAGATCAATCAATCAAAAAAAAAGATTTCAATAACCCATAAGCACATAAAAAAAAAACCTTATCACCATTAATCATCAGGAAAATGGAAAATAAAACCAAATGAGATATGCTTATCCAGCCATTATACAGTCTTAAACTAAAAAGATTAACAATACCAGTGTTGACAAGAATGGAGAACAAAATGGTACTTTTACACATTGTTGACAAGAATATAATATAATACAACCACTGTGCAAAATAGCAGTTTCGTACTAGGATAAGCATATACTTACTATACAACCAGGAATTTTACTCTAAGTTATGTCCATGGAATATTAAATGTCCACAGAAAACAAAAAGATATGGATGAATCTCAGAAACTCAGAAACTGAGTGAAAGAAGATAGAAACAAAAAAAAGTATATTCTGTATGACTCCATCTATATGAAACCCTAGAAAAGTCAAATTTAAGTTATAGTATGAAAGAGTACATAAGTGTTTGCCTAAGGTAAAGATAATGAATTACATAGGGAGCAAAAGCAAACTTTCTGGGGTGATGGGTGGTTATATAGGTATATAAATGGAACAAAACACATCAAAATGTACACTCAAAATGAGTATTTTTATTGAGTTGAAACAATAAAATAAATGGTCTCAATAATACCGATTTGAAAACTAACTATAAAAAAAGGATACAAATACAAAATATTAAAACAATCCTAAGAATAAATGAAATAGGAACATGTAAATTTCTACCCAGAAAACTAAATATTGTTACTAGGAACAATTTTTTAAAAAAACAAAGAAATGGAAGGAATATATGATGCTCATAGCTTGAAAATTTCAATACTGAAGGAGATCGATAGATGTAATATAGATCTTTAGTTGCAACAGATGTATGAATTCCATTCATAGTCCAAACTCCATCAAGATTTTTTTAATATGGATACTGACAAACTGATTCTAAATTTTAAATAGAAATGCTAAGTACCAAGAATACCTCAGACTTATTTGAAAAAGAAAAGGACAAGGTAGAAAGATCTTATTCAACCAGATACTGATCTTTATTAAACCTAAAGCTAATTATGACAGTATGGCACAAGGAAACACAGACAGGCAAATGAGGCAGAACTGAGTGGCAAATCAGAATCCAGCATTTGGGGGCACTTGATTTGTGACAAAGTGGCAGAGATGGAAGGAAGGAAGAGTTTTTCAAATAAATGATGCTGGGTCATCCTGACATCCATATTACTCCTACCTCATTAAATTCACAGAACTCAATTCTGATGGACTGTACATATAAATATAAAAGACAATAAAGTGGCCAGGAGATAAGGTGGGGAAAATGTAGGCAAAAATTTCATCTACAATCAAAAAATCACTAAAAAAGACTTGACAAATTGAGTTTCAGTAAAATTACAACTTCTGTGGACCCAAACAGATTCATATAAATGAATAGAAAAGTCACAGGATGGGACAAGATATATATAAAACATAAAATCTTCAAAAGGACCATTTTCAAATGCATAAAGAACCTTAAAAATTACTAATAAGAAGAAAAACAACTCAATTTTTAAAAATGGGGAAGAGATTTCAACAGGCAAATACAAAAGAATAAAACCAAAAGACTAATAAATATGTAAGAAGTTGCTCAACCCCATTAATCACAAGGAAAATGCAAACTATAAATACAGTGAAATACTTTCACCAAAAGGGCTAAAATATGAGTGGCAGTACTAAGTACCATTAAAGATATGAAGAAACAGGAACTCTCATATGCTGCTGCTGAGTTACTAAACTTTCATAACCACTTTGGAAAACTATTTGGCATTATCTAATAAAACGGAACATGCACAATCAAATGAATCAGCAATTCTACTCCATGTTATTTACCCATCAGATATGCATGCAAATAAATGTGTGGTACACCCAAGAGTAATGTACAAGCAGCATCACTGTGTAAAAAGCAGCATTATCTGTAATAGTCTAAACCTAGAAAATTCCAAATGCCCATCATCAGTAAAATAGTTTAATAAATTCTAGTATCCACCTACAAAGGAATAAAAATGGAATAAAAATAAACTATTACTACATGCAACATGGATGAATCTCATAAACAAGGCCGGACAAAAGACGCTACAGACAAAAAAACACATACTGTGCAATTTCATTTACATAAAATTCAAAAAAGACAAAGCTACCCTTGTATTAAAAGTCAGGGTTATGAATCTGAAGAGGAGCAAGATTACTGACAGGAAAAGGAACACAAGGTGGGGGCTTCTGGGGTACTTAGAACATTATTTCTTGACTTGGGTGATGGTAACATGAGTGTTTTCACTGTTTCACTGAGCTTTTATACTCTGTATTTGTGTAATTCTTGAATTTAAAATGTGAACACACACACACACACACACACACACACCTGTGTGTGTAATTTAAGACTGTGGACTAGTCTGTTCTAGGAATGCTCTGTGATGTGCTACCATAAATTTTTATCTATTCAGCACAATAAAAAAGATGTTTGTTTATTCAATTACATATATATTATATATAACTTTGCAGATTTATTTTGAAAGTCTATATTTTAAACTTTTCATCACCACTGCAAAGATGCACAATGTTATCATGTTACCATTTGTGCACGTTTTTTACTTTATTGGAAACAGTAACATGCTATTTAGGACAATGGATGACAAATTCAGCAGAGTCATGTCTGAACATCATTCAAAATCTCTGTTTCGGCTCTGAAATATAGTGAGTGACTTTTAAAAATACCAGAACAATACAATTATGAAATGCAGTCACAAAATGCATAATTAGCCCTTCTCAAGAATTCATAACTATACCTTTGCATTTACTTTGTACTGTTTCACTATGTTTGAGGATGGAGTTGTAAAATGAGTATAAACAGGTAGTAATGTATACCTCATGTTTTCAGCCGAGTCCTCTGGCATCGGAGCAACAGTTTGTACAGCTGGAAGGTTTTTGCTGGTAGCACCATTCACAAAACTAGAAGAGGAGGAAGAGGAGGAGGACCCTGAATCCACGGCACCTGTTCCCAAAATAATAATTTTTAGCCTTAAAAATAAATTTATTTAACAAAATAATTCACTATATCATTACTATCTGATTTTGAAGATTTACTCATCTGAATTTCAAAACAGAATTCAACAATTAAAAAATCATTTTGCCATTAGTATACTAATAACTCTTTATAATTATAAATAATAGCTGTTATATTAAAATCCAGTTGATTTACTTATATTAATCTAACAGAATTACATATTACAAATGGGTTATAAATAAAAGGCATTAACAAATGAAAATAATTTTAGATAAAATGAGGCTGATAAAACAATTCCAATTTAGATGTGAAAAATTTATGTTTTTATTGCTATATTGTAATATTTTTAGTTTTCACCATCTAAGATACAATTTACAACAAACTGAGCATAAATTGGTGGCACTGGAGCATCAAATACTTATTTTGATAAAATGAATGCTTTAAGAAGGGCTATAATGAATATAATTGTACCTGATTTTAAAATAATGAGTTCTCCTCAACGATATGAAGATGCCACTTTGGAACAGACTTTTTCTATAATACACCATGTAAGTACTTTAAAGAGCTGTGGAGTTGAGGGACATCTAGTGTTCCTGAATATTATCTTATCTCACACTAATTCCTACAAAACTGAATTGGTTACTGAGATTTCTTCTGCAACACTTATATAGCATCTACTTGCCAAAATCTAAACTGGACAATGTGTCCAGTTTAGGTGTTGGCACACAAAATGTGTGTGTGTGTGTGTGTGTGTGTGTAGGTGTGTCTGTACATATTTCTGAGGAGGATGTTTAATTACTTACATTTTATTTTCCACTGTAATATTATGTACTTTATACTATCACTAGACTTCTTGCTACATCACTTCCTATATCTATTATTAATTCATAAAATAGAAATTATAAGAAAATATAACTTGTTTCACATAAAGATAAAAAAGGGGTAATTTAATTTTCCTTTAACCTATCTCTTAAAAATAAGGAATTATTCAGTAGACACTAAATGGAGATTTCTTTCTACTACACTTGCATATTTAAAAATTTTAACATGTTTTTTGATAGATGTTTTGGTAAAAGAAAAATATTTTCTTTCTATTTCTAGAAAGTAGAATGAATATAAAGAATAAGATTATAAACTGTATAGAAAAATTTTAAAGTCTTCAGACAAGCCAGATATATTTATTTATAATATATATAAACCAAGGATGTTATGTTCTTTAACACAATGCCATCAATAATGTTTATTTGCTACTATAAATATGCGTGATAGAGTATATTCTACTTACTACAACCCCATAAATGTGTTGCTCATGATATGTCAGACTCGGGTGGTATGATAAACAAGATAGATACAGAAAGCACATAGAAGAGCTATGAAATTAATAAAAATGGGAAGAATCTAAGTAATGATAATAGATGGAAAAGTTCAAGGCTATACAGTTTGGAGAAGAGAAGGCTACTATAGTCAGGGAAGAAAAGTCAGGGATCATCTTGCGTTGTATAAATACCTAAAATGGAATCACAAAGATTTGGGTAAGGATTTATTTAGCTAATAATCAACAGGAACATTTCTGGAAATTTACATAAATAAAGGTTATTTTAGGCAGGCTTTTAAAATTTGTAGTGATTTGGTATTTTCTGTTCCTAGCATCATTAGGAAAATGTTGGACAATGAACTGGATACAACTGTAATCTAAGTAAGTACATAAATTAACTCAATGTCAAATAATGGTTCTTATTACATGCATTTTTTTTCCATCAAGTTGAGGCTCTTGCATATCGTCAAGGTTCTTAGGGGAGCTCTGCCTTTCCTTAAGAGGATTTTGCAAAAAATATACATTAAGATTTAACCAGTAAACGTCACTAAATCTATTTTCTATCACTAACATATTTAGTGATATTCTTGATACCATTTATTAATTTTTACATATCAAACTTCAGTGTTTACATTATCTTTTGGTTTTGCTCCCCAAACACCTTTCAGCAATCTGATTTAACTCTGAAAGTAAATAGCACTGTGTTTTGAGAAGCCTCAAAACAAAAACCAATAGTGTCCTCTAAAATGACCACTAAAAAATGTCTTAGAAGTACAGACAAATTCTGAAAGGTAGTATCATAAAGTAGAACCTTCTTAAAGATTATGATAATCCTAAATGATCAGGGCATTTTAATTTTTAATATCAAATAAGCAGAAAAATGAAGATATAGAAAACAGAAAGAAAAAGATGAGGTATCACAAAAATATATAAGGACAATACCTGTTGTATTAATCATACTTTTTGGTGTAGCTCCAGTAGCAGCAAATATATTAGAGGTACTGCCTGTTGGCAGCCCACTTCCAGCAGCAGTGGCTCCCACAGTGGTTACAGCCAAACTACCTGGAGGGGGCTTCTTAACAGGTACCACGACACTCCTACAAAGCAAGAAGTGATGGAAAAATAACAAACACAAGGTTTAAGATGAAATCCAACCCTGCCATGACATGTACAGTCAACATTCAGTTGTCTTATCTTTTTCATTTCTTTTTTTTTTTTTTTAAAGATTTTATTTATTTTGACAGAGAGAGACACAGCGAGAGAGGGAACACAAGCAGGGGGAGCGGGAAAGGGAGAAGCAGGCTTCCCGCGGAGCAGGGAACCCGACGCGGGGCTCGATCCCAGGACCCTGGGATCATGACCTGAGCCGAAGGCAGTCGCTTAACCAACTGAGCCACCCAGGCGCCCCATTTCTTTTCTTTTTTAACTTCTGAGGCCAATTTCATTGGTGAAAAGGATATGGACATTAGGATATATTGTGAAGTGTGTTGACTTTAATTCATTTGGCAAATGCTTATGTCGAATTTGGAGCATGCAGACCTTTCTTAAGATGGCTTGTAGGCTATAATCACGAATCTGGAAAAACTGGGAAAATGTGTGCTCAAGTTAGAATATTTTGCATCTGCAGCTTTTTTGGTAATATATGCATAAAATGTCCTTCTTACCCATATTATATTCTCCATGTGTAAAACTGTCATAAAAACATAAAAACCACTCTGAAAGCCAGATTCTGAAGCTCCTTCATAGTAAAGCTAAAAATTAACCAAGGAATACTGAGTAACATCTAATGCTATAGTAAGGTTATACTTTATTTTTCTGAAAAAAATTTGTTTTTCATAGTTGTTATGATGAAAAAGAACTCGATGATACACTTGATACAGTTAAAGATCTATTTAGCTTTCAAGCCTTGACATTTTAAACACAGGGGTTTCCCATGTTACTTTAGCATATTTAGATGAATTTCACACACACAAAATTCTGAATTTGACATTGTATTAACCTTAAATAATAAAGAAGTATCATTTTAAAAGATAAACTACCTAGAATCATTAATATCTTTATTTCCAAGTAGTGAAGCTTCATTCTTCTCAAAGAATCAGGGTTGAGAGAGGTGGGAAGCTGGATTTGACCGATTTCTCATATTCTTTCTCAGCCTACAACTTTACATGCTGCCTACTATTTCTCCTTTGATTATAATGGCCAACTGGTTTACTAGAATCAGAGTACTGTACATTCTTGTCCTTAATATCATTTCTTCAACACTGCCCATTCCCTAACACATCAAACTATTCTCTGTCCTAACAATCTATTTTACAAATAATTTGCAAGTTTACATTTATCAATATGTGTTAACACATTATATAAAAAATTTAACTTTTCAGCTCTTATAAAATCTTCTATAAGCGACTCAACATGTTCCACTTGGTAACTTATTCCATCCATACCAAAAGGCTTACCTAGTAGTCTACATAATTGTTGTGGGTACCCATTTCGATTCCATAAATACCCTCAAGTATATGTAAAATTTTGAAGTGCATACAACTTTTTCTAGGGTGAGCAAATAATTATCTGGATTTCAAAAATACATCCACAAAAAAGTTAACAGCCACCAATCTAAACTATTAACATATTCCACTCTCCTTCTAAATATGCTATTCATACAGATGCATACATAGAATCCTCTATACTACACACACTTTACCAACTGCATTTTTCTATCCTAAGAACATTCTTTCCATGTTTCCCACACAATTTCACAATTCTGTTCCATACCTTAAGACTGCAAACTATAAATACGTAGATGATCCCTCTGTACTACATAAAACTCACACATACTCTAAGGTTGTAACGGTTATCATCAAAACAGCACAAGCCAAGAGATTATTCAATCTAACTCCAACAAAATGTTCGAGTGGTTAACTACGTTTTGTAATACACTGAGTGATATATAATACATACCAGTGTAAATTTTTCCATCACTGAATTTATGCTATCTCAAAACCAGAGATTTGGGGTGTGCTCTAAGATTCATTCGTTCATTCATTCAACAAATATTTATTGAGCACTATGATGTGTGAGGGGCAGTTCTAAATTCTGATATACAGAGATATATAGAACAGACACAATCCCTGCCTTCATGGAACTTATGTTCTAATATGGGGAGACAGAAGATACAATAACATGAATGAGTTAATACAGTTCTGTGAATCTTATAAAAAGGTTCCTACTTTATCTGTATACCTCAAGATTTGGCCTATGTATAAAGTAAAGTAGTGAAGATAAGGGTTTTTCAATAGTGACTCATCAAGGCAAGTTGAGTTTTATAATTATTTGTGACACCCTATAAGGATCCCTTTCTTCTTTCTGCCCCCACTCTCTTTTCTGTAACACTTATTGAGCACTGACAGGTTAAAGGAATACAACTTCACTGACAAGTTTGAGGGATAAAAAGAAAGAAAGATATAACCCATGCCTTAGAGATACCTGAAGGAAATACAAGAAACCAACAAATCAACTGTGCAATATATTTTCATAATTGCTTTGATCAGAGTTATGCACAGGATCTTTCAGGAACACAAAGGATGTGCATTATATGGGAACAGTGAGCTGAATCTAAAAGTAGCACAAAGGGAATTGGCCAAGAAGAGAAAAGTTCAGTAGTAAAACCTCAGTGAGGCAAAGAGATATGAAAAAACATAGTAGACTGAAGGAACTATAAATACATCCTTATGACTGATAAAAGGTAAGGACATTTCAAACTAAGAAGTTCATCTTTTATTTTTTAATATATTTTATAATAAGTAAAAATTATTTCAGAATTTTTATCAGTTTTGCATTTAAGAAAAATGACTCTAGCATAAATGTGGAAGATACACTGGTGGGGTGGCAGGGCCTGGAAATAGTAAGGCTATTTAGGAGATAAGAGAAGGAATCCACTTAAGGGATACTGAGGGCCTAAAGTGAGGTGATAGCTTTGGGAATATACATGTCCTATCTTTTCTGGGATTCACGTCTTTTAACCAAGTTCAAAAATAGCTATCTGCTACTTTTTTGAGACTAATTACAAGATCATTTCACTTATGATAGGATTTTGGAAATTTTTGGGACTTTTAAGAAGTAATGCATTATTTTATATGCTGAGAAACGGAGTCCCAGAGAGCCAAAGAGAATAAAAGTCACATCACACAACTAATTACAAAGAGATCTATTATCAACGCCCAATTCTCCTAAATTTCCAGATTAACACTCTTCCCTAACAAGACTTATATAAATGCTAAACATTTATCTTGAAAGAAAAAACTGAAGCTTAGGAAAAAAACAATGTTACTGATTTTAGGGTGATACTACAATTTATTACAGCTCATCAGAAATCACAAGGTTACTGCTGTGACATATTCATGTTTTGTACGTCTCTATTTCGTAAAATATTTAGAATACCAATGAAAAAATATGTATAAGAAATAACTGAGTATTTCATTAATCCACTCTTTAAAGAGAGATACTTTTTCGGCTCACTGACTCGTCTGTGTAAATGCCAGGAGAGACAAAGGTAACAACATTGGGGACATCAGACCACCATGCTCAGTCAAAACTGCATCGTCTGGCAACTGGCCTCAAAATACTATACCCAGGACACTTGGAGCATAATAAAGGCCGGAATTTCAGTGGCTAGACAGCATAGAAACTTTGAAATGTAAAGGTTGGCAGACTTTTAATCAATTTGGCTTATAATTACTTGTTCATCCTTTAAGTGATAGAAGCAAAACACTTCACAAAAACTAGAAAAGTAAAGGAATAGAAATTGAAGTCCTCAGTAGTAATTATAATTTTTTATAATCTTAAATCAATGTAGGAAGATTCCATCATCTCTATCAAACATTTCTTTATTATTTTCCCTCAATCGTCATCCTTAGCACTAATGTTAAAAATGTTAATATTAAAAAGCTAGAGAAAAAATAGTTAGCCGAACCTTATATTTTAGGTTTAATAATATGAAGGCTATCTATATTGCCTTTTTAGTCCTATAATATTTATAATTTCTATTTTAGAGATTTTCTTATTCAAAGAATAAACCACTTGAAAGTGAAGAAATTAAAAGTTTGAGGGGAATAATATACAGACCAGTCTGCCTGAACTTATCAAACCCAGTAATTCAAACATAAGTGGATTGTAAAATCAAAAGGGATGAAATATAAATCATGTAAGATCAATATTTGTTAGCCAGAGAAGCAACACAATTTTGAGCTTTTTGTGGTATCCCAGACATAAAATAATTCTCTAAAACATAATAACAGTTAAAATGAAGCATATTGTCCTCTGCTTTTTTTTTTTTCCCCTGTCTTTTGTCCAAACTAAACAGGGGAGGGCTATCTTAGAAATCCCTGGGGAATTAAGACTGACCTAAATCACATATATATACACCAAATTCTCCAAAGATTAAAATCATGTGGATATACAACATTACAATATTTACATAAAAGATAGGATAAAACTTAATTGGTGGTTTTAGAGAAAAGCACTAACCCAATCTAAAAGTTACACAGGTACTAATGTATAAAAAATATAGCTCAGCTAGAATATTTTATAAATTATATATCTATATTTAAATCTATCAAAAGAGATTGTATTGTTGGGGAATTTTGCAATTTGGTTTGTGTTCTATGATGAGATTATTAAGCACTTCTGTTAGAAATAAAACCATGATAATGTTATCATTTCATAACTTTATTTCCTTCGTATACATAGTGTTTCCTCACTGTAGAACAGTACTAGAGAATCTCTAGCATTTTCAGTGCTTTACAATTCATAAATATGTATTTGTTAGGGCCACTCAGTGCAATCAGACATATACGTAAATCTGCACAGATGATGACCGGAAGAAATGAAAGAAAAAGAATCAGCACTTCCGAGATATGTAAATAAGAATATTTATATAATAGTTCATAATACAATGTGATAAAATACTGAAAGAAAAAGCTTTATTTTAGGTAAGTCTAGATGTTTCTTAAAACTTGATGTTGCAATCTACCTAAAGAAAATAATCTACCTAAAAGAAAAATTTCACAACTGAAATTCATAAATGCTCCATCCCAAGTGGGGAGAAACACCCTATGTGGAATGTAAGTTAACATAACTCAAATTACATCAGTTGTTTTAGGAAGGTATTTTCAAATTTACAGTATAAAATGAGTATAAAGAATGCATTGTTAGCATGTTTACAATAAAACCAATAAACTATTGGCTAACAAAAGTAAAATCCTATAGGTGATCTCCATTGGGGTTGTGCAATATTATTAGGAAGCATGATTTAGTTACAAAGAAATGAGCAACTGAGACTATAGCTATTTTTCAACTAAAGATAAAAATGAAAAATACATTATTGGTAGAGTAAGACCCATGATAATTCTGTGTTTGAAACTGGTAGTCGTCAGGACTTTGCTTCTAAGGCATGTCATCTTGGATCCTATTTTCAAGGAATTCAATCTGATGTTAAAAGACATGTCATAACTTGGATTTCAGACTTTAGTGCTTCAGAAATATGTTTATATACTTCATAATATAATTATAGCTACCTTAAGACAGATAAGGCAAATGGTAGCAATATATTGGAAATATAATTGAAAAATGCAGTTGTCCAGAAGCACTTGTGGGGATGATGTCTCTGAAAAGCTGCTCAAAGCTCTAGAGTTTGAAGTAAAATTTTTGATGTTGTCACTCTCAATCTATTGAATGGCTGACAGACAATCAAACCCGTCTGGCTGGCTGGCAGCTCATTTTGCTGGCAGGTGGCAAACAATTAGACACACCAATTTGTGCCTCCTGATGACATTAAAGCATGAAACTAAGTTGTATGCAGGGCCTAGTGATTTGTGTGAAAGCATTTCAAAAATAATACTCTTTGCCGTGGCAACTCATTTCAGACTGCCACCTCCCATTATGGCTTTGAGCAGTGAAGACGACAGACTTGAGTTACGTGCACTGCAAGGCCGCTTCTGTTCAATCCGTCATCAGCGCCCCCTGAGACCTCAATCCCCTCCTTTCATCAATATCACCTCATCATTTACATTTGATAGTACTTGAGCTACTGCATACATTAACTACACTACAGACCCTTTCCCTAAAAAGAACTGAAATATGCTTTGTGTGCCTCGATTTCATTTCTACTTATGCAATTTAGAATAATGATCCCACTCCCACTGCACTTTGCACAAATGCTACCAGGAACAAATGGAAAGTTCTATTTTTTTTAAAGCAATATTCACAAAAATGTAATAAATTTTGAGTAGCTGAGAATATTGGCACTCTAGTGATAGCTTTGTTAAGTTTTAATGAAAACACTGTTCTAACAATAATCCAAATTAAAACAAAACATTGAACTTTATTTTTATTTCACTGGATTCTCTTATGCAAATCACAATCCTCTGTATTTATTTGTTCGTATTTTCATAAAATTTAAATATGTAATTTAAAAGTAAGTGGAACACAAAATTTTTATGACCCTAAATTGAATTATTATAACATTTTTATAGATATACACAATTACAGATACTTACATACATATGTTCACATACACTCATAAAGACACATCCACATATATCCAGGGAACATAAACCAAATAGGTGAAATAGAGGACATCAATCTGAGATGGCATAAGGAACGTTCAAGGAACTATATGAATGAACATCCAAATATAATCTTAACACAAACCATTAAAAAAAAAAGAAATATTTTCCTACATTTCATAGCCTCTCCTTTTTTTTTTTTTAGTTTTTAAAAGTTCTGATACTTAACACATTTTATCTTGCAATGACATTTTTTTGCAAACATTTCATCTCCATTTACTAACTCTCTAAGTTCAATGGAGGGAACACTGTTTTTATCCATCTTTATATCTGACACGATGACCACAGCTATTTATATTTTCACAATAAACTTTCAAGAAGTATCTGTAGAACAGTAGCTAAAATGTTTAAAGGTAAAGCTTAATTTACATTTATATATAAAAAAGATAATCTATCTTAACTGAAAAATGCCTTTCCTGCCATATTCTTACCTCTAAACACTAAAAAATTACTATGTCTATATTTGCACAAAGCAGTATGGCTATTTTAGAAAAGTAATACAGAATAGCTGTTACATTTTGACTATATGTTTATTTTTGACATTCCAGTTTAAGAAACATTTGATTTCCTAAATTGTTCTTTTCTAAAACAAAAAACAATTGTTTACCAATCATCACACACACACACACACACACACACACACACACACACAAATTTTGGGTGGGGGGAAGTGTTTTCAACATCAATAACAATTTAATTCAGATGGTAAACACATTCTTTAGTTTATAGGCTAATATGTAAATATTAGTCCCACTATCAATGTTAAGTACTATTGTTAGTAATTATAACTATCATAAAATATGTTTCTAATGCTGCATAAGTTTTTAAATAGTAGGATAAAGTACATGAACAAATTCTTTGGTTCTAAAATGTTTTATCCTGCTTCTGTGAACTATCATTTTTATGGCATATATAGTGGAACAGAAAAAAAATTAGTTGTTCTCACTAAAAACCCTTGTATGATTTAACATTTGAATGCAGGTATATGGGCCATGTTATAAATAGTTTAGAAACCTAAAATGCCTTTCAACAATATTTACTTTCAAATACATGCCTCAAAATATGGCCTTTACATTGATTCTGAAAATTCCATGCATATTTTCAGATGATAATGCATATTTTCAAATTTTTTCCATCCTTGCATTTAAAACTCGAATTTGAATTTTATTACTTAAAGCAAGTTATTTATTTAGTCTCCAGAAGTTATTGGTTTCCAGTACTATGATATAGGAATTCCAGAACCAGATCAAACCGTGGAAAGATATGGCTTACCCCTCCCCCATTTTATCCATGAAACAATTAAGTCCAAAAAGATAAAAGCACTTCCTCAATGTAGTGATGATGGATTCTAATCAGAATCTGGATTTCCCTATTTCTAATTTAACATGCTGTCCTGTATACCATATTGAAACTCCTTTTTTGAGATGTATTATTTAAGTGCCTTACTATGAGATCAATCTGGTTGACCTATCACTTCGATATTCTTTGTAGTAAGAATTTATATTACTTAATATAAAGGTTTTTGAGATCCTCCTAATATTTTAAAAAATAAACGGTTAATTTTCCTTCTGTGTTTGGAGCACTACGAAAAATAAATTCAGTACCCACCTGTCAAAGGAATGAAACTGCATAGGAAGAATAGCTTGCGCTTCTCTCTTCAATGCTGGATCTGGGTATGGGATAGGTTCAGGGCCACATTCTGCAATTTCAACTGGGGCAGCCACAAGACTTTTCAGTATCTCCTTGACATTGATGCCTTTGGTTTGACTAATGCTAGATATGGATGGTGCGGGTTTCAACAGTTCACTGGGGTTCTCAGTTAAGCTTTCCTGTGATTTCTTCACTTCAGATGACAAAGTGGATAACAGTTCACTCATGGCATCAGGGCCTGGGCCCGCCTCTATTTCTGCCCCATTCAGGATGCTAGCCACTTGCTCCTCTCCAATTCCTGAATCTGTATGTGGAATGGAACTTTCTAGCTGAATATCTTCACCAGCGGTTGGTGTTTCTTTTTCCTTTACAGTGTCTGGAAATGTAGCAGGTGTTTCTGTAATAAAAGAAACTGGTTTAAACAAAAAGCTTCACAAGTGAAAATCCAGTATTATTAATAAAATATTCTCACATATTGGAATAAAGAAAATAAGACCCGTGAGAAACAAAAAAAATCTGCTAAATGGATGTGCATAACAACACAACTGGATTAAAACATCTCATCCATGTACACCTGTCATTTTTGTTCAGGAAGCCTCAACAGAACCCTGTTTCTTTCCAAAGCCACCTGGCATTTCAAAACTGGTATCTTTAAAAGCGTGGAGCAACAGTACCCATAACAATTTTTTATAGCAGCTTATAAATAATTATTATATGAAGTTCCCCTTTATCCTTTGTTAACTTACCAGTCATATAAGAGAAATTGTTATACTTCTCTAATATTACCTTAAAAATATGAAGTCATTTTATATCTTTTTGGTACTTCAATAACCAATAATATAATATCTAGTTAAAATATTTAAACTAGTTAAAGATATTATTTTAAAATCAAGGGGCGCCTGGGTGGCTCAGATGGTTAAGCGTCTGCCTTCGGCTCAGGTCATGATCCCAGGATCCTGGGATCGAGTCCCACATCGGGCTCCCTGCTAGGCGGGGAGCCTGCTTCTCTCCCTCTGCCTCTGCCTCTCTCTCTGACTTTCATGAATAAATAAATAAAAAATAAATAAATAAAAAAATAAAATAAAATCAGATATATATATATACCTAAAATTCTGAAGTTAATAGCAAAAAGCATGCCAAATGATTATTTCAAAAGGATAAATAATTTAATAAGAAAATAATGGTCCTCAAGAATTTAGCCTATATGTGCCTTTAAGAAAAATCATTTTGGAATACTCATTCTTTGTGAATAAATATAAATTTCAATTTCTGAAAACTGAAGCAGATAAAATATATACAGATATGAAATATACATACAATATTATCAATTACAATAGAAAAACATCTTTAAAATGTTAAATGCCTATCAATCTCATTATGCAAGCATTAATATAATGAAGTTCCCTATATAATAAAATGTAAGTTACTTCTAAGATCTCTTCAAAATGAACATCTGTAAGTTCTATAAAACTGCCCTTAGATTTTTGTTTTTTTGGTTGTTTATTTTGAAATATTAGGACAGGAAATCAGGAGACACCCAACAGGGAATAGGTTATTTTGATTTCAGCAAGACATCTCACAAAACCTTTGGTGAAGTCTCTAGTAAAAACACAGAAATGTTTTGGTGATATTATTTTTTGGGTGGTATCATAATTTGTTTAAAGTTTTATACACACATGTTAAGGATTAAACATAATGTGAAGGGATTTCTTTAGTAACAGGGCTTAATTCTTAGACTCTACTAGACAGTATTGTTAATTTCTTAAATGTAGATTAATGTCATGAAATCCAAATTTACTGAGCATGTGAATTTATTAATTTTTCCAGATTTCAGAGTACTTTTGTCAAGTTTTCAAACTGTCAAGTTCTCCTTTTCTTTTGATTCAAACTGTATTAGATACATACATTACTTTAAAATATAACATTTTCATATTATTCAACCTAATATACAATATTCATTTAAATTGGCTAAAAATATACATCTCTCACAATTGTTTTATTGTCATTTTCATCATATTTATTAAATAGGCTTGTTTGCTCAAGGATGTTAGAATTGAAAAAAAAAGATTAATCAGTAGGACATGACAATAATATTCAAACACCAGATGACCAACATGAAAACTAGGGTAGACCTATTCTTTGTTGTTCCAAGACTAAAAATTAAGATAACTGCATAAAAGTTTTGAGAAGACATAATTTTAATAATACTCCTGGCAAAGCACTGGAGAAGGAAAAGGTAAGAGGTAAGGTAACAGTTTCAGGACTTTTATAAAACCTTGTGACAGAAAATTAAGACTTAGAATAATAGCATTCAGGATAAGAAGGAAGGAAAAGAATGAAGACGCTTCTGGAATATCTAGCTTAAAAAAAGAATAGAGACATAACACTAACTGAGGAAGAAAGCAAAAGATTAGCAAGTTTGTTCAGAAATATTTGGCGGGGGGCGGTGCCTGGGTGGCTCAGTCAGTTGAGCATCAAAACTCTTGGCTTCGGTTTGGGTCATGATTTCAGGGCTTTGAGATCAAGCCCCAAGTAGGGCTCCACACTCAGTGGGGAGTCTGCTTGATATTCTCTCCCTCTCGCTCACTCTCTCTAACATAAATAAATCTTTAACAAAGATATTTTTTAAAGATTTATTTATGTATCTGAGAGAGAGCACACATGTGCATGCAAGAGTGAGGGGGACGGGGTAGAGGGAGAGACTATCAAGCAGACTTCCCACTAAGCATGGAGCCCTACATGGGGCTTGATCCCACAACACTGAGATCATGACCTGAGCTGAAACCAAGAGTCTGACACTCAACCAACTGAGCCACCCAGGAGCTCCTGTTCAGAAATATAACGAATTAAATTTTGAAATCAATTGAGTGCAGAATCTCTGGAATATGTATAGCTGTTGAGTCAAAAGAAATATAGCCATGTATTTTGGGATTATTCAAACTGAGATGATAATTGATACTTCAAAAGTTGATGAAATAAGCTAGGAATAAAGAATGAGAAAACAACTGCTAAGGCAGTTATTGCCTCTATTGGAGGTATTACTGAATTTATTTAATGCATGTTTGCATCTATACATTATATATTTGGGGAGTAAAAACAGTTGTGGCAGAAAATCAGTAGAAAATTAAATAGCTAGTGAAGCTTCTATGACAATAGGACACAGAATGTAAATGCAGAAACAAAATAAGAACTCTAAGAGTAACAAATCACAGTGGCATGGTTACCAGCATGGGCTAAATTTTCTTTCAGAATTTAATTCTCAAAAGGCATATAGTCAAGTCTAGCACTTACTCTGAATTTGGCTGATTTACAGATTTGGCCTAGAGTTTGACTTTATCCTAATGTGATGTTTCAGTGTCTTTATTTATGGCATGTTTTACATTAACAGCTACACAAAAATGTAAACTTTTCAAGTTATAGAAACCTGAAATATAAACATTTTGCTACAAACAGAATATCTAAGAAGTTAAAAATCTTTGATTTAGTGTCCACAAGTTACCATATAAAAACTATGTAATTTTTTGCTTTTCTGTTCAATTGACTCTCAGGAACAATGAAAATCTCTAACTCACTAACTAGATACTTGAAACTCCAATATAAATGTTGACCTCTCAATTATAAAATGCAATTAAGTTTATTAAAATTGAAATATTTTCAAATGACTCATCAAAATATTTACAGAGTAATATAATTCTAATTTTATGTTTACTGTGACGGATAAATCAATGATTTCAAAATGAAGCAGTAACTTTGATATTTCAATAAGAATTCTATTCAAATAAATAAGCTTTGTAAAGCATGCTTTGTGATCATATTATATAGAAATAAAAATAAACACCAAGGGAAAATTTTATAATAGTAATTGCAAATAAAAAACAGATCAGTAGTTCAAAAGCCTACCTTAATTTCCCATTATGCATTAACATTTTTTTTGTTTGTTTGTTTTTTTTACAGAGCATGCTCTTACAGTTGATAGCATCAATTTCAGTTTGGATAACTTGTATTATATTTCCAGACTGCTTCTCTGGGACAGTAAAGTACTTTGAGGATTTAACCCAAGTGACTTCAATAGGATGTTAAGCAGAACAAGAGAGAAAGTACAAATGATTGCAGCTGAGCCAGTTATATCAATGACAGTAGACCCGTAATTTTTCAATAGTTCATCAGTTTCTATAGCAAGAGGCCATGTTAGTACACAAAACAGAAACATGACTGGCCTGAGTGATCTTAATCTTATCAGAAACAGGCCGCTAGATGCCAGATGCCTCTTTTTCTTATTTTCATTGAACCTAATGAGTTCATCTAATACGTTTTAGGAAACATATAGGGTTAACTTCAGCAAATGACATGATTTCTGTATTGGGACCTCATTTATCACAATCTTTTCTCCAAACATCTTATTTTACAGTGATGTATAAAGTGTTTCAATGTCTTACCTATTAAGTTATTCAAATTGCTATTTTCCAAACTACTTGAATAAGAAGTAACATTAAAGGAACATACAGCTCCTTCTTAGTATAGCACTAAAAATTCTATTAATTATTTGCTCAAGTAGTAATACTAAGCAAACTAAATCTCATCAGAGTAATTTAAAATATAAAAACCTATATATAACTTGTATGTTTTGTTTATATTAAATCCAAAAATGCCAAGTTATGCAAAAATTAACCTGAATTCCAAGGAAGAAAAAAGCTGCCATATTTTATAAAAAGATTTAAAATAATTATTACTCATTTTACACAACAAAGACTGCAAAGCGCTGAGTAATTTTTTGCAATCATTTATATATGATTTAATTTTTTGTTTGTTATATTAAATGTATAAGAATACAACTTCAGGAATTCAGTATTATGAATATATACTCACAACAGACAAAATTATAATTCAGGAGAAACCAACTAAGAGCCAAAAAGTATTTCTACTGAATGTTCTGATTATGACATATAGATCTGTTTGAGTTTATCTTACTTGGAATACATTATGCTTTTTGGATGTACATACTAATGATTTTCATCAAATTTGGAAAGTTTTCTTTAAAAATTCTTTCTTCCCATTTCTGTCTCCTCTCGTCTCTTCAGCTCCCATAATTTGTATGTTGGTTCACTTGATGGCGTCTCACAGGTCTCTGAGGCTCTCCACTTTTCTTCATTCTTCTCCTCATTCTGTTCCTCAGAGTAAGATAACAGCAATTGACCTGTCTTCAAGTATGCTGATTCTTTCTTCTGCCCATCAAATATTCTGCTCAACCCCTCAAATGAATTTTATCTTAGTTATTATAATTTTCAACTCCAGATTTGCTATTTCACTCTTTTCTATAATATTTCTTTACTGATATTCTCTTTGATGAGACATCACCCTCATGTTTTTAATTCTTTCAAAAAGAATTACTCAGGTAAT